AGGCTATCATTCCCAAGAAACACCACTTTACTTGTGGCTGCACCTACGACCCTTAATGCGTTACGGCCTCCGTGATCGTTAAGTTTGTAACCTATGTAGAATGACTATGATTGAGGCAAAAAAAATACTCACCTGGTAATACAGTTTTTTTTTAAATAGCAGTGCATAAATTGGGAGAAAAAAATTCTGTTTTTAATCTTCGATATTTACCCACTACCCTACGTGAGTAGGGTGTGAAATAACGCCGTTTTTATATTTGGTGACTAGATGCATACATATGGGACAAGGAAAGATAATTTCCCAGTCTCCAAGCAACTATTACATGTGCGTTGCTATCAATCAGCCTACCCTCTTCAGTTGAAACGACGAAGGTGCGGCAGCAAAATTGAAATCCCCAGAATTAGGCATCCCTTTTAAAGTTAAGAGGAAAATAAAATAAGTAACACACACGCTGGTTTCAGATCCATCAGTGGAAATATGGGACACAAGGTTCTTTTTTTATTAATTTGGTATTGCCATCGGCTAATCGAAAAATTGCTCGATCAACGCTGCCACTGTCACTTTAATGTCGATATTCTACCAGCACTAATTCATTGCAATATCGAAAATCGATGCCGCAGGATTGGTATGTTAATGTGAACAATTCTCAAGTTAGATCCCCGATTCCATAGATAGATGCTGTCTGATGTAAGTGCCCTGTTATATATTCCTGTTGCTTTTATTAATCTGTCGTCCATCGCATGTCTAAAAATCAAGTATTTTGTAATATGCTTCATAGTAAGTGGAAGATTTAGGCATTAACATTTAAACTCAAAATACCAATCTCTATATTGCACCATTTGTCTGCTTCTTGGAAAGACGACATCAGTAAACAAATAAGAACCGAATATAGAAAACGGAAAGACCTGGGAACAATGCCGTAACCAGGGCAGCCGAATTGTTCTCTGGAAATTTAGTCAGTCAAAGAGTCTTCATTTCCTATTTATTGCTGTCATTCAATAAGTTAAAATTAAGAAATAGAACTAAGCCTCTTATATTACTGTTTCTATGAAGAAATTGGGTTCCCAACTAAGTTTATCAGGATGTCACCCGAGATTAAAAAGGTTGATTTTGAAATTTTGGGGTTTCTGTAGAGAGGTTATGTATGAACTGTGGTATATTCACTCTGCAACACCCTATATGACTACTTAAGTTTTGTCGAAAAATCGTCATTTAATCCTGACAGTATGCAAAGATGTGTTTTAATCAATTCATGAAACTGCTATAGTCAGCCAAATTGTAAAGTTGAAATATCTCAAAATTAAAAAAAAATATGTATATAGAATCTTTTTTTTTTTTTTTTTTTCATTTCAGCACAAGTGCATACTCATATTCCCGCTTTAGGCTTGAATCAATTCGTGGCACGTCCCAACAGGGCAGCTTTCTGGAGATTCTACCCTGGGCGATATGATGAAATCAGCTCATTGAAATATCACCCACGTTAAATTCGTGCCGGAGTCTCATGGTCAGAAGGCTTAAGTTCTAAGCACTCAGACCACGAGACCACGTCTCTGTGCAGGTATAGTTGCCTACGTATAGGCCTTTATTTAATCATACCTGACTAAAACGATTCTTGATTTTGTATATGTGTACGTGTGAGTTTGTGTGAGTGTTTTGATGTGTGCATTTGATTTCATTTGTGAGTCGTGTTTCTAAAAAAACGTTACCTACCTCACTAAAACTTACTGTTTTATGTTTTATCTCAGCAAATTCCATATTATTTAAAGGTGGAGAAGTGAAACCGTTACATTTTCTAACTTTACAAACGAGGATATTAGTAGGAATAAATATATTATTGCGTATATTAAAATATCACGTACTGAATGCCTGTAATATAGGCAAAAATATACAGATATACAGGCTGGGGCAGAGCAACTTGCTTATTTAAATTTGGCGCCCTAAGGCGATGGTTGCTCCAAGGATGGTAGGGATGGACTTATTTGAGAGGGTGGGGCTTAAAGTTTGGTTCTTAACGTGCGTTATTTATTTTTTGTTTATTTTTCAGGAACCCCAGTGAGCATCATGGAGTGGACGAAGTTGGAACGCGCTTTCGCTGTTGAGGCATTTTTTCAAGCGGTCGCTCAATCGTCACAACGCGACGTGCATTCCGTAGACATTTCAATATTTCCCCCCGTGGTCGTGTTCCTGGCCGGCAGTCGATTGTTTCATGGGTAAACAACTTCAGGGAAACGGGTGATGTAAAGAAAAAGAAACCTGGCCTCCCACGAACAGCAAGGTCACCCCAAAACATTGACTCAGTGTATAGAGAAGAATGGACGCCATCTTACTGATATCATCTTTAAAACTGGTAAAAAAATAAAATTTAAATGTTGAACTAGTTGCAGTTCAAAGAATTACATGTATACCTGCATTACTTGTGTTTTAATTGATATTCCAAATAAGCAAGTTGCTCTGCCCCACCCTATATATGGGAAAATATATACATTAATTTTTATAGTAG